AAGCCCAATTTTATAAGTAGACAGAGTGTTGGCCGTCTGAATAGTGAAAGGTAACTTATTCCACAAAGAAGGAGCGGCTGCTGCAAATGCTCTATCCCCCCCCCCCCCCAATTTAGATTGGCAAAAGAGGGAATTTTTTTATAAATAGACATGATAGACCATTCAATTTCAAGTACACTCTCTGTCCATTTCATTGAATAAGCCACCAGTCACTCATTATGTACACACACACTTGCTTGTAAAATCTAACAAGGTGGGAAAAAGCCACCTACAATTTGCGCGCAATAAAGCTATTCTGCGCAGAGCAAATGATTGGTGGATTATTTCATAAGAATTACAAATCTTTAGGGAACAAGCTAGTTTGTAGTCTCTACTTACTTAATGACTTATTTAGTTTTGTTATAAAATGCACCTCGACTCAACAGTACGACAAAACACCTGACGGTGGCCTGTACTGCTACTGAAGAAGAAGAAGAAAGAGTCAGACAAGCTACTGTACTAGTGAGGCTTCTCAGTCAATAAGCATTTGTCTTAAAATTTGTTTAACTTTTTTTCTTACGCTCGAATAACAGACGCACATCAAATTCTTCCAAATCTAACAGTTATAATCTCACACTCACACAGACGCAGTCACAGACAGGATGGCTAGCACTACAAGACACGAGTAACAAGAAGAGGTCTACAAATTTAGAATCATAAAACTACAAATAGACTAGATCTATTACATCACAAACTTGGGGATAAAGTTCGGTCACGTCCCCAGACGTAAATAATCGGACCCCAAATAATCATTCATTTCTCATTTGATTGATACACATCTGCAAAACCCCAATCACACTTATCACAACCAACATTGTCATCTCCAATATCAGTATGAGAATGCATTAAAAAAAGTACGAGTCGTAATAATAGGACAGTTGTGTGTAATATAGATCACAACATTGTAGCTGCTGTAAAGTGCTATGCGGTAAAGCAGGACCTTACGCGCCGTGCCTAGCGGCCCACGCCCACTTACCTTCCGAGGTATCTCCATTGCCTGCACAGTCGGTGCCAGGAGAAGCGATTTCTTTTCATTGTACAACCAGTAACCAGTGGCTGCCACAACACCAATACCACATATGCTTGCAGTCACAGGGCTTACAGCTCTCGATGTGAATGCATAACTGCTCGATTTGTTGCTGTATTGCCGCTGAATGCAATAATACATTCGCTGGGCTTGCCTTGTAAACAATCTAGAGGAGGTCGCCATCTTGCTTGCTGCGGTTCAATGCGCATGCGTAGTATTTACAATCGGCTGTTTGCATACAAGTTACAAGTTATCGTCTGCTCAAGACAAACACTTCAAAGTTCAGACATTATAACTAGGTGTGTCTTTTCCTTAAAATGTTCATTGAATTTCGAATATATATGTTTAGTCTTTGGTTTGAAACATGATCTTGTATACACATTTTTCTTCGCACACTTCAAGGTTTTTCAAGGTTTTTCGTCATGCTTCTCGTATTTCATCACTTGACCCTGGCACTGCATGAAATATGAGGCAATATTATGCTACTGAAAAGAAAGCACTTTTAAAAGAATCAATATTCCACAATTAAATGCGCACACAAACATTTCCGCAGTTTGTGATGTTGATAAGTTATAATTTTATTGACAAAACGTGTATGCCGTCATATGACTGATTATGCTACTGATCTCATGACAGGACAATGCCCATAACTACACTGGTACTTTTTGTTTATCTTTTAATCAAATTCAATTCACATTATATTAAAGAACGATACATTATTCAATCTAAAATTTTAGTTCATGAATTTTTTTTTTGTTCATTAATAAGATATTTTTGGGTGTAATATGACGACAGAATCAATTGAATTATAACACATTCAGAGTCATTGCTCTAATCTTCAAAACAAATCACATTAATAGTAATTTATGCAATAATATTTTTTTTAAATACAAATAGAATAAAAGTTTTAAACATTGAAGAAAGTAAAAAATGTCTTGAATTTGGTTGACTCGGGTTTTATCCAATGTTCATAAATGGTTCTACTGAATAAATATGACATCATTCTTACTGAAAACTAACGTTTCAATCTTGATAATCAATAATGATATCCGAATATTGCTTCAACACACATCAAGTCTATTTCAGCCTATTTGAACCGGACAGTCGATCAAAATACGAATTGAAATTGTTTGTGTATAGGACTTCAGATGTCAAATCGCAAAAATGCATTTTCTGCTTGCAATATTTAGTTTCTTAAAAAATCATGAATTCAATTTTTCTTCATGCATTTATTTTTACCTATAACTTTACTTTTTGGATAAGAGACATCGCAAATATAATTATGCACCAGTCATGGCAAGTTCAATGCCGTTTTACCTTGCCAGAAAAATGGATGGGAAGGGAGGAGCGGGTCGGGGAGGGGTGGATGGGCGGGCAAGGGGGGGGGGGCTCGTAGGTCGCCTACGACATAACGAGGGGTTCTTGCGACATGGCATAACATGTACTTGGTCTGAGGTCTCAAAGTGCATGACAGCCCTAAAACCCGGGGCCCCAGTAATCTAACATTAAACACTGCCCGTGTCGCACCGGGAGGCAGCTAAATAAAACAAACAGTGGGGAATATATATTTTGAATATGGATAAACAATTCTCCTCTGGCTCTGCAGCCATCTTAATCATTGTCGGCGAGGACGTAGAGACGACAGCGCGCTGTCTTCGAAAGGAAGAAAGAAGAAGGAAGAAGAAAAAAAATCGGTCAATTTCATATTCTGTCTCGCCTGCCTTTCTCTCTCCCATGCTGTCTGTCTGTCTGTCCGATTGATGTTGTATGTTCAGCTATCCAATCTTGCAGAATTATAACATCAGTTTTCTTGCGGTAAAACAATTTGGGGAAACAAACATAAAGATAAATTAATGAATTATTTAAAAAAATCAAAATGAAATTAATTGAAAATTTTACTTAGATGTTTCTAGGTTATTTCCCTGACTTGATGCATATAAAGATATTTCAACCACGTAAAATATCCGGCATAAGTTGACTGAGGTGTGACTTTTTAATTGCCAACGGAAATCAGTATTTCTTCGAAAAAGAAATTTTTACTTCTTGTTTTCATTTAGCATCTGTAATACATGTTTCATGTGACTGACATCATTAAAAGTAACGTAGCTTGCGTAATGATCAAACCGAATTATTTTCATACAGGGAACTTTTTTTTTACATGATCGCAACTATAATTGTCGAAAAATTAACTCAAGTAACTCCAATATCTTATAATATTATGACAAATTATGTTATCATTCTGTTATTTTTTATTGTGCATTGAATTAAAAAACTTTCAACAACAAAAAGGGCAATTTGATACTCTATTGTATGTCCATAGAAATCATTTTCGGATTACGTAACACGATATAGTCATGTTCGTACATTACAATAGATGACGCGCATAGTAGCCACTGAAACTGCGTTACTGGTTTATTTTTTTTAAGTAGTTGCTATCGCGATTGAAATTTTGTTCATTCGTCTTTATTTCCTCTCGATAACAGTAAATCATCTCGATTGGTTCACTTGGAAGAATGTGCTTAATGACAATTTGAATAGTGATTATTAATTAACACACATGACATATGCTAATATTTGTATTAAAATCGAAGAGTAAGTCGAAGCTTGAAGATGTTGATGGTTGTAATGACACTATAGCATTTAAAACCCAGTAAACAATTTTCTTTTTAAAAGGGAGTGGGCAGCGAGAGGTAGCCCGTGACATGCTTGTATCTTTGTCTTTAATAATAGACAGGTACTTAACAACGGATCCAGTCTGACCATTATATTTGTGAGCGGTATTAAATGCCACATCAAACTTTTTAATCATAGACTGTAGCTATCTGTATTTCTTGTTTAACATGATATCAAATCATTGGCCTTGAATATTCATATCAGTTTCGGTCTCTTAAAAAAATAAAATAAAAGGACAAACAAATAAATATGCATGGTGTGCCGATTACAACACCAACAACTCATTTGTCCGATAACACAAGAGAGTTGAATGTTCTTTTGTGTCACAGGAAACAGACATTTGGACCTTAATTCAGCCAATAATACGACCACTGAACTCACTAATGTACAACCGTAACTCACCAATAAAAAATGTATGCATATTTATCATCTCTCTCTCTCTCTCTCTCTCTCTCTCTCTCTCTCCACCCCTTGTCTGTCTGTCTATTTGTCCTACTCTGTCTCTTTCTCCCCTCTGTCTTTTTTCTTTCTCTCTCTCTCCTCACTCTCTCTCTCTCTCTCTCTCTCTCCCTCTCTATACCTCTTCCTCTTTATCTCTTTCTGTCTCTGTCTGTCTTTCTGTATGTCTCTCTGTCTCTGTCTCTTTCTCTCTCTCACTCTCTCATTTCTCTATTCTTCTATATCTGTTTAGGTGTGACCCCTTCCTATTGCTATAACAGGTGACGAATTATATGTAACACGGACGCAACCCATCGGACTGCAGACTATAGAGAGACGAGTCACCAAGCCGCTAAGCCAAGGTAGAATGATAGCCACAAGAGATAACAATCCCCGTCTAAAATTTACCTTCTCATTTCAAAACTTCTCTCAGCTTACTCATCATCATCAACCACCAAGACGGTGATCATAGTGAGTGTTCAAGAAATAACGCATTTGTGTTTGCGGATTTGACTAGGAAGTCCCGTCTTCCGATCTGCTCGCGAAGGAGGGAAAAAAGTTTTCTTTCTTTCCCTCCCTTTTCTCTGTATGACAAGCGGAGCGGGTTTTGTCCACGCCCACTCAATTCGTGAACTCCAACGTCACACACGCGCGTGCGCAGTGTGTTCATCTAGATCCTAGCCTCAATTTGAGCCACAACTACTGACAGTGATGTGAGCTCGTGCGAGGTTTTAGACCTTGTCATACTTGACTAACAGTCCGTTCCGCGTGGTTGATACTCCTCCTCCCTCTCCTCCCTATATTTCGTCTCCCGGATAACAACCGACAACTGAGGCCTCTCTTGGGATTCTTACTTCGCTCAGCTTCAATTCATTCACATTCTCCTTTTCGTCTCATCATCTTCCCCCCTTTTTACAAATTGGATTACTTAAACCATGGACCTCGTTCTAAATGGAATCTAGACGTGCAAATGGATTTGAACGCGATCGGTATAATATTCATGGGAATTAATTTGCAGAATTTAGGATTGTGAACAGATGCTTTTCATGCTTCGGTAGTTCTTTATCTAATCATACTTGGTTAATTGATATATTTTGAAGTGGTTGGATTTCGCGTTGGACATCATTGTGTGCGACGCGGTTTCCATGAAGCCGAAGATGGATGAAAGTTGTTGGTGGTCGTCGACGATACCGGCGAGTAAGAGAGCCTCGCACGTCATCATCATCGGGTTCTTATGCGTAACCCTGGCGGCAGGTTTATCAGACGATGGCGGGTTGCAAACGAGAAGAGAACAGGCCGACACGAGGCAACATCACCAAAATCAGCAACAACCTCACACAATTTCAGCAACAATCAGAGACGCTGACAACAGCGTGTTGCTGCACAATCTCTTAGCTACAAAAAACAGTGCCAGCATCAGCACAGACTCCTCCGCAACGGGGCACAAATCCAGTAGTCTTAGCAATAATATTATTAATCAAATAAAAGTATCAAACATTACATCGTCTTCGTCGACGATATCAAAATTAACTGCTTCAGTGCTGTCGAGATTAAACTCTTTGCCACCCTCATCATCATCTGGTTCAAATAGAATAGAGCGAGGTGAGAGGTTGCATAGCTGGAGCCCAATGAGTTCAGACTCGATGCTCGAGCACCACCTACGGACAGGCAGCCAGGCCGACGCCGAGCCCAGTCGGAGGGTAAGGAGAAAAGCATCAAGTCGAGGGAGTACCCTTATTTACAACTCCAAGCAGCCGACGCAGCTTTTCTGTAGAACCAACTTTCGCCTTGCCGTTCACGAGGACGGAACGATAAACGGAACGAGGGATAATATGGATGTATATTGTAAGTATACTCTTCTTCTTTTGTTTTCAGAATAAAGAATGTATCTCATGTATCTCGAGCACTTCTTAAGAATAGTAGAAACATTGAGACAAGCAAACAATCTTGAATCATGGATAAGTTTAAGTAAATTAAGTTAGGCCAGGAGGCAGACGTCTCATTTTACTAGCATATTTGATTTAAAGCATTCATCACTATTTTAAGGCACATTTACTTTCATCCCAGTGCACTTGTATGGTATACAGCTGAGAAGTAATCTGCTATGTATTCATAATAATTCGACTTACGTACCACAATAACTTTATTTCATGTACATGAAAAACTGTCTTATAATATGTAGGCCTATCCACTGATATGTTTGTAGCAAATATATTTTTGTCTGTTTAGTTTTGCTGTCTGTGATATAAGCCAGTAAACTAAAAACCTTGTACGACCTTTCAGATTAGGCTAATACCCGAACAGTGATTGGAATTTAAAGCACTATTGCCATGAGGTCGTTTTTGTTATCCATACTGTATAAAGAACGTCCATATCGCAGTTTCAAAATCAATATGTTATTTAACAAAAAGGGAACGAATCTTAAATTGAGCTGTTCATTTTTTCAATCTTGTATATCACGAACTGTATCGTGCTTATTGTAAGAAAATATCGAAGGGATGAAGAGTGAAGAGAATCTAGAGAGAAGTTCAACGCGGGCATTTTAATTAGAGTCATATATCACGAATCCTCGATCGGATAAAGTGATTTACTTCGCAAATCAAAGGCATACATTAATTCCTGTGTCAACGTGCTTGTGTATCAGACACACACGATTAAGTAGATCGCTTAAACCAAGGAGCCTAACATCTCCTTGCTTGAACACTTCGGTATAGCACAGGATTGATGTAAACTATGAATGTGTGACGAGATTAGCACCAAAAGAAGAAAAAAAACATAAATTCGTCCCTTACGTTTATCATAATGTGATCATTCTCCTTCTCCCGCGAGAACCTCCCTCCAGAGAATACTTTAATATCTTTATGTGATTTCGTAAGACAGAAATTAATGGCGTCTCATTTTGAGATAGGCCTAAGCGTTTTTTTTTGTTTAACGTCGCCGGTAGCAATTAAGGCTCTATTTTGAATATTAAACATATAAACCTTTAGGACATGCGGTAAAGTTTCGCTATTTGATAATATAATTGACACCATCGCCAAAGCATTTCAACTAGTAAAATTGGTAAATGGAAATTGTTAAATGAAATCCGACTCTTAATGGAAGTGGGGCAGGGAACACGACAGTCTAACACTGAAAGACACATTGTGTGTTCATATTTTAACTCTATCTCGGGGTCCCTTCGTGGGTTACGATTTAATAACCCATGAGATTTCGCGCTCAATTTTTGATCACGACTCAATTATCGAGTCTAGCTGCTGGTAACACGTTAACATGGCGGTGTACTTTATACACTCTCGTGTCATCCCCTCACTGTTTTAGTCCTCACGGCGTTAGTCAGGGACATAATATGAGTCACATAGAACTTAACAGGTGTCTGCGAGAGCTGGCAAAACTTTTTACCGTATTTGTTCCCCCTTCTCCTCCTTCCAACCTTTTCCACTCTACATCCATGCATGTATACCGTATGCACGACATGGGTATACTTTAGGCCTAGTCACGGTGCACTTTTTCCTCCATGTTCATGGCGAGCTCAATTTACCAAATATAATTGTTACGAAATGAAACAGCTGACATGTCCAGAGCTTGCTGTGTTGAAGTTTTGTCATCCAACACAGCTCAACTACCACTAAGGTCGTAACAATTTTTTCTGTATTCTGCGCTCACCCTGTAATAGTTTGTGGCATTTGTAACGATACCCCCATGTTAAAAGCGAGTACTTGACTGTAGTTTGGGTATTGCGAACGGTAGACGTAATCAAGTTTAAAACCACAGTTTGGGTTCTCTTTACACTGAAACTATTTCCAACCTACAATGAAATCATAAACTCGTCGAAAACATTTGTGCGTGCTCTCTATGATTTGTTTTCTTACCATGATTATGTACACTGAAATGAACTGAGCAGCACGCGAGTCATTTAAAGGGTCTTGTTCGTTTTGAAACGTGGATATTAAACGATGGCTCCTCTATATATTTTAGAGATTTTATTATTGTCAATATCGAGAACATGATTATGGGGGACAATCTGGAGGGTGGGGAAAAGTATCCATATTTGTAATGAAGGAGGTATAAAGGACTTATTTCTGAAATCGAGCTTGGTCCTTAAATATAAAGACCCTTGTTCAGAACTCGAGACTACTAGTATGTATGAATTCATAGAAAAGAAACTCGAATACTTTTCCCTTAATTATCAAGGGATTTTCATAAATGTGTGTTATTATAGTTGTAAATTCCCTCACGTTTAAACGATCACTTAATTTTTTTCTCTCTCAACAAAACTTCGAGAAGAAACGTTCAATAGGGTTTAACACTGCGAGGCACATAATAGGAAACCAGTCGTCGAAATATGCCATGAAGGAGCCGAGAGTTGTCATCCTTGTAAACAAAAAGGGGGGAGTAAATCTTGTCTCCCACATTCAGAGTCTGGTCTATAAAAATGCAAAGGTAGTTCACCTTTCCACCCGGCTAGGTCCGTGAGTGGAAAGAATAGCTAACTGGATGTATCCGTTACACTCCATAGAAGATAAGTTGACACAAGACGAGTGCTTTCAACCTTGCCAAAACTAAATCCCACTCTATACGCCTTTTTACAGTACTTAATGAGTGTCCGAAGTTATTCGGACAGTCCCTTTTGGTTACACCTTCCTGTCCATTTCGAGGAGTTTTCCGTGGCGCGATAAAAACGCCACCAGCTTTTCATCTGCACGCAAATAGTTAACCTCAATTGGTAAATAAACATTATGTTAAGCCCTCGGTAAAGGAGGGGGAAAGTCGAAAATAGTTGGGATATCTTGTTTTCGTTCTTTGGTGCTGGGAAATATTGGAGAAGCAATTCTTAAAATTAAGAAGCTGAGGTTGGGAAGCCTGTCATGGTTGGGTTTTTTAAGTCTCGGGTATACATCAAAAGTCCCGCGCTCTTCCAATTGTGTTGGGTAAATCTCTAATCCCCTTCCCCGTGTCATAAGCGATGCATTAGTATGCGTCGCGCAGAAGGAATCTCTCCTTTTTCAGCGAGAGGGGGAAACAAAAAAAAGAAGAACCCCTTTTAATTTGACTCGTTTTCTCGTACTGTCTTATGTCATCGATGTCAAAGGCCATAGCCGTGTTACTGAAATTCATCCAGAAAGTTTTGTGTGAGAACATGGTAACATGACTGATCAAGTGAAGTTTGATTTAGGGTCATGTCTATAAAGGGAGAATAAAGTACTGAATTATAAATAATACCAAATTATGATGGTAAACTATTAATGTAACTGGTATTATGATCGATCTGTATAGTAAAGATAAACAAATCTTAGAGGATTAAGTCATAAATTAGAATTATGTTGAATGGTTGCAAGTTATAGCAAAATTGAACCACATAAGTGTTGTGGTATAATAGCTAAACCATTAGATACAATGTTCGATCGAAGTTTATCTTATATGTCTTACCTCCAAACAAGTAAATCGGTTATTGATTTAATAGACTCCGAGTGAGAAAGAATTTATTTATTGGAAGAAAATGGTATGATTTTATTTTAAGGAATCGGGTATATTTGTGATTATTTTTTTTCGCCTGAAAATCGGAAAAGAATACTGAAATGGAACTCTGTTTTGTCACAAGAGAGAGATGGTATAGAGCCTTGTAAACGTGGTTGCTTATGTGTCCTACATCTCGAACTCTTGACATCACCGGCAATTTATTGAAAGACAAGACCTGCTTACCTTCCACTTTGATCTAAGACATTGACCCATATTCAGACCAAGCAAGAAAGTGATCTTCAGTCTTATTGACCTCCAATAAAACACAAAACCTGAACATCTTTACGACCATATTTGTTATCGTAGCCCTTAAGGCTGCCGATAATACCGTCTATATACACTAAAGAAAATCAGAACAAAAGAGAGGGGAATACCGTACACTTTCATGAAGTGTTGTTCACTTTATACCGTGTTCTCTTAAAACAACCAAATGGGAGCATTGTACACAGTGTTATTTCGATTGAGATCATAATTTGATGAGTGCTTTAAAATTTGTGAAAGTCAGACACGTAAGATACATGCAGTGCGTATATTGTGTTTGGCGCCGGTTTATATGATTTGCGGCGCCACATTGGACGTACGCATTTTTGTACATGGTGGATTATGGTACAGAGCGGTCAAAGGTTTGGACTGATCGCGTTGTACACGACACTGGTTGGAAATTTAGGGATAGTTTCCCCGCCAAAAATGATGTGCTTTGTCTTTTTGGTCCTCTCTTTGTCTTGTAAAACACTTTAAGATTTCCTTTATATCTCTTGCTGTCTCCCCCATCTCTTTCCGTGTCCATCTCCGTTTTTGTATGTCCCTCTCTCTTCCTTCCTTTCTCACTATTTCCTCTTCTCATCTTTTTAATTTAATCTCCCTCCTGTTTTTCTCTCCTCTCCCCTCTTCCATGTCTTCCTACATCACTGCCTTTCTCTCCCTCTCTTTCATCTCTCTTGCTCTCTCTCTCTCTCCCTTCTCTCATCTCTCTCCTCTTTATACCCTTTTCCATATTTATCTATTCATCTCGAACTCTTTGGTATCGTATACAATGGTATTCTGCCTTATACAATCCTCCTACCAGGGCATCTCTCTCCCACTACCTTTACCTCCTCCTCCTCCTCATCATGTCTCCTCCCATCTTCTCATCAAAAATGATCTTGGCATTTGGAAGCAGACAAACACGAGACAAACCAAGCCGTGATGAAACACTGCTCAATCCCTCCGACTGAGCTTTTTATTTTGGTAACACCCCACCCCTCTTACTCTGACTTATCCATCTCATGTTCTACAACTTCTCCTCCCCCTCCCCCTCCTCCTCCTCCTCCTCCTCCCCCTCCTCCTCC